AATTAAAAAATTCACTCCTCCTCAACAAGCATGCAACCCTGGAACCGATGCTTGTCATGTGGCATTGATTGCATCAAACCCTCATGCCAAGCATCCATGTAGAAATGGGTTATGGTTCTCAAACTTGGAGTCCAGACCCCAGTTGGATTAAGGGGATGATTTTTGGGACAGAAAATCACCTCAGAAAAATGTAATGTGAAAAATCAAGGTGGCGTCTGACCGGACATTACAGTAGAAGGATGGCGAGCGGTTGGTCTCAAACAAAACCAGTTATTGTCTGCATTAACTAGGCTTCACCAAAACAACCACTACTAAGGCCATAGTATTTACGAGAAAAATTGAGCTGTGTTCTCCTGCTGTTAGGTGCCTTAGTTCCAGAGCCGAGCTCAGTCAGCCATTCCTGCTTTAATCTCCAGCTGATCCTGCACACCGCCTCACCTTCCCTTTGCTATCTGGATTATCCTTCACTGAAGTGCAATAGTTTTGATTCCTGATCTAATGGACCTACCCCTGAAAGCGAATGTCCTCCAGACACACCTGGAGGAGGTGGTGCTACTCTCTGAACGTGTTGCACCAACACTGGTGGCCTTGCTTGCTTTACCAAAGTAAAGAAAGCGTCTAACCCAGTGTTCTGTCAGATCAGCATACGTCGTCAGACCAGCATACCCATAGTCAAATGGCATGTGCAAGATGTCAGATTTGTGTTTATCCCTTTAGTATTGTACAAAAAATAGATTTTAAACTACCTCAATTGGCGTGTATCCCTTTAGTCGTTTACAAAAAAAACAAAACAATTTAAGGCGAGATTGCCATATGCTTCAAAAAACACCAAAAAGTAAGTAATTCAAATTTTTTTCCTGTACTTGTCTAAAGTGATATGCGTCCGTTGAGGTAGTTTAAAGTTTATTTTTCATACAAAACTACAAGGATAAACTAAAGGGATAAACAGGTTTTCATTATGGGTATGCTGGTCTGACTGGGTATGCCCATCTGAGAGAACACCGGCCTATAATTCCAGGTCAGCCATGTTGAAGTGGAACCAGCAGGCAGCAGATTCTGTGATGCAGTGGAGCTTGTCCTTCACCATGCAAATATCTGCACCTAAAAGTGGCAGTTTTGTTGCAGGAATTGTGTCCAGTGTGAATGCACCATATATGTTTATAAAAGGGGCCAGTCAGACGGCTATTCCATGATTTATAGAAATATACACAGCTTATACCATATGTTGTGATCAAATTTTAAACTGGAGAGTTTGTCACCGATACCTCACTATCTAATAATCTGATACATAGGACTGGGATAGCAATGATTTACATGAGAAATGCTCACCAAGCTTTTGAGAAGAACCTGCTATTTATCCCTTTATCTATGTATGTATTGTTAAGATTTTTTTTTTGCGATGAAATTGTTAGAACTATCATTGATGATGTGTGACACTGTTAAACCCTTATAATACCGCCCTGTGGCGTAGTTGATCTAATTAGGACAGTTCCTTCTGTCAGGATAAAAGGTTTAGGGAATATAATGAGAGTGGTGTCCTTGATCCTGAGTAGTAGCCATTCAAAATGTCCCACTTTCGTTGATGGGCCCTTGGCTGGCGTTTGGTTGGTCCCCTACAATTCCTGTAATTCAGTGTAAGGGGGTCACTCAAGTGGCTGTAAGGTGGAAGAGAATTTGCTGGGAGTTGCGGGGGAGTCTGCTGCCATTCGGCCATCATTTGACTGGGAAGGGCCGCACATCCATCTGGAAACCTTCCGTTTAAGTAATTTTGGGAAGGGGCGAAAATACTGGTTAGCTGATTGGCCTATGTTGGTGATAGACGGGCCAAATAAACCAATCAGATCAACGAAGCATATGACGTACTAACAGAGCGACGACGAAGACACAACCATAAGCCAGGCTACTCTTGCCGAAACCAGTCGGGAGAAGAGCAAAAACATATTTTCCTCCGAGAAAAGCCTCCAGAGCAGTGTTTTGCTCTTCTTTCAGTGAAGAAATACTCTGTAATTCCCATAAAACTTGCTGGATAGCCGCGCTAACGCTAGTTTCATCGGCTGAAGCCGCCATGTTCTTCAGACTGAACTGTCATGCTTCTCGTTGCGTCACACCTCAACCCGCCTCAAAGCCAACGCTGATTGGACGTTCGTTTGGTGAACGGCTCCAAATTTTCTTTAACGGAGAGTCTCCAGACTGATCTGCGAGTGAAACCTTGAAAGCTCGCGAGATCAGGATGGTCTCACGAGGCTAATTTTGAATGGCTGCTCCGGTAAAAACTTAGTGTAATACAGGTGCTGGTCATTAAATTAGAATATCATGAAAAAGTAGATTGATTTCAGTAATTCCATTTAAAAAGTGAAACTTGTATATTATATTCATACATTACATACAAACTCATATATTTCAGATGTTTATTTTGTTTAATTTTGATGATTACAAATGACAACAAATGAAAATCTCAAATTCATCATATCAGAAAATCAGAATATTACTGAAGACCAATAAAAACAAAGGATTTATAGAAATGTTGGCCAACTGAAAAGTATGAACATGAAAAGTATGAGCATGTACAGCACTCAGTATTTAGTTGGGCCTCCTTTGGCCTGTATTACTGCAGCAATGCGGCGTGGCATGGAGTCGATCAGTCTGTGGCACTGCTCAGGTGTTATGATAGCCCAGGTTGCTCTAATAGTGGCTTTTAGCTCTTCTGAATTGTTGGGTCTGGTGTATTGCATCTTCTTCTTCACAATACCCCATAGATTTTCTATGGGGTTAAGGTCAGGAGAGTTTGCTGGCCAATTAAGAACAGGGATACCATGGTCCTTCAACCAGGTACTGGTAGCTTTGGCACTGTGTGCAGGTGCCAAGTCCTGTTGGAAAATGAAATCTGCATCTCCAAAAAGTTGGTCAGCTGCAGGAAGCATGAAGTGCTCTAAAACTTCCTGGTATGTGGCTGCGTTGACCCTGGACCTCAGAAAACACAATGGACCAACACCAGCAGATGACATGGCACCCCAAACCATCACTGACTGTGGAAACTTTACACTGGACTTCAAGCAACGTGGATGAAGTGCCTCTCTTCTTTTCCTCCAGACTCTGGGACCTTGATTTCCAAAGGAAATGCAAAATTTACTTTCATCAGAGAACATGACTTTGGACCACTCACCAGCAGTCCAGTCCTGTTTCTCTTTAGCCCAGGCAAGACGCTTCTGACGCTGTCTGTGGTTCAAGAGTGGCTTGACACAAGGAATGCGACAGCAGAAACCCATGTCTTTCATACGTCTGTGTGTGGTGGTTCTTGAAGCACTCACTCCAGCTGCAGTCCACTCTTTGTGAATCTCCCCCACATTTTTGAAGGGGTTTTGTTTCACAATCCTCTCCAGGGTGCGGTTATCTCTCTTGCTTGTACACTTTTTTCGACCACATCTTTTCCTTCCCTTCGCCTCTCTATTAATGTGCTTGGACACTGAGCTCTGTGAACAGCCAGCCTCTTTAGCGATGACCTTTTGTGTCTTGCCCTCCTTGTGCAAGGTGTCGATGGTCGTCTTTTGGACAACTGTCAAGTCAGCAGTCTTCCCCATGATTGTGTAGCCTATAGAACTAGACTGAAAGACCATTTAAAGGCTTTTGCAGGTGGTTTGAGTTAATTAGCTGATTAGAGTGTGGCACCAGGGGCCATCAATTTTGAACCTTTTCACAATATTCTAATTTTCTGATATGATGAATTTGAGATTTTCATTTGTTGTCATTTGTAATCATCAAAATTAAACAAAATAAACATCTGAAATATATGAGTTTGTATGTAATGTATGAATATAATATACAAGTTTCACTTTTTAAATGGAATTACTGAAATCAATCTACTTTTTCATGATATTCTAATTTTATGACCAGCACCTGTATTTTGATAAGGCTGGAGCCATGGATAGCTTGTCATCTGCAAACATTTATGATGTAACAATGTGATGATCTGGCAGACAGAGGATATGGAGTGGCGGCTTAGTGGTTAGGGCTTAGGCCTTGGAATCCATAGGTTGTGAGCTCGAAACCCCTCCTCCCTGTCCACCGCACAGTGGCAGCCCACTGCTCTCCAAAGGGGATGGGTTAAATGTGGAGAGTTAATTTACCCATTGTGAGAACAATTTATTCATTATTATTTTTATAAAATGCTTTAACTTTAACTGTGATTTTGGGCCACTTCAGATGTGAGCCCGGTTGGTAAGCACTGCCTTCTGTAACCCTAAGAAACTTCTTTGGTCTGAGTAAGATCCCAATTTCTGTCAAAATCTGTTGTCATTTCTCATGGTTATTTAATACATTATGAAGTGTCATTTAAGGGATTTTCCTGGGTGATCTCTTCTCAGGAAAAGAACCGGGGAGAGAAGCTTTCCTTAACAAATTTCTGTCTTGTTCTAAAAAATCTGGGGTAGAAAACAACATTTAATGACTGGAATTTCCACTTTCTAAGCCTAATTAGCAGACTGCTCTCTCTGTTACTATTTAAGAAGACTCGATGTCACCAAAAATATGGATACCTCCAAACCCATTTATTGAGTCATCTTATCTGGTATGCCAGGTCCAACATTATGAAGAGTCAACTACAAAAAAGTGCTGTGAATGCAGAACATTTCATGTTTAAATTTAAACACTAGCACATAGTCTGACTTCCTTGCCCACACAGTAAAGTCTATTCCTGCTGTTGAGACGAGCTACACCTCTTTGATTATTGTTTGGACAGAAAGAAAGAGCTTGCCTCTCTTTGTTTTGCTCCACCAACTCTGCCTACATAAGAGAGAGTGCTACTCATAGCCGCACAGTAAGCCTCCACATTCAAACCATTTGTCGGAAGAGAGTTCTCTTCCTACAGAACAAATTACTCCTGCTATGTTTTTCTTTTTTTTTTTTTTATGTGCATCTGTCACCAAAAAGTGACTCTTTAAGAATCTGCATGTGTTCTTTCCATGAATAAAATGTGTCCTGGTGTTCTGTTTGTGTTTCTCCAGAATGCAGATGACCTGTTGGTAGCCTCAGCAGAGTGTCCAAGTGATGATGAGGATTTGGAGGAGTGCGAGCCTGGAAATGGTGAGTCGGCTTGGGAAGTTCTGTCTCTATTGTTTTCTCTAAAGTAACCCGAACAAAGGAAAAAAAGTTCTCTCCACTTGCAAATGACACTTATCTAATCCCCCTGTATGCACCTCTGATTCCTCAAAACAGGTTACTTCTTTATTTTCTTATTTTTTGTCCTTTTGGGTGTTTAGAACAGCAGGTATTCAGCCGAATTTGTGCTTCTCCAATTTTTCAGCCTTGTGGTAATTTCTAACATTTACCCAGCTGTTGCGCCGATCTCCTGCATTTCCTTTAACAAGGACGAACATTTTCAACACGGAAGCACAGTTTGTTGTGTGCAGCATACAGCTGAGCCACTGTGTCTGAACAGCAGGTCAAGTAATGTTCTGACACCCCAACAGGAGGGGGAAGTAAAAGGCCATGTGTTTTACTCCCTGCCTTTATGCTTTGCAGCTCCATTGTACATGAAAACTGCCAAGGACCATGTTCACACAAAGAATCAGCATGCCTTAAACTACTCCCACTGCTACCATTAGGGCTTGGTAGCTGCAAGGGTCAGGAGGTGGAATGCATTTTTTCTATTTTATGAACAAATCTAGACCGAGAATTTTTTTTTTCATTAGTACAGTCGGTAAAACAAACTGTGCTTAGATGCAACATATGTGCTGGACACACTGTTATGGTGCAAGTGTGCGAAAACTAAATTTAATTTGAATTAAATAAATTTTTTTTTAAATCCAGAGAGTGAAAATGAACAATACCTCTCTGACTATAAACCACAACATGTAAACACAAACCAAACTGAAGCAGTGGCAGGAAATAAATGGTTTACATTGGAAATGTAGCCCTTTAATCTCACTTTAAGGCTAAATGCTGACCATTTTCACTTCTTCACATAAAAATACCTGCAACTATTTTACTTTTCGTGTAAACACATTCCTATCCAGTTAAAGGCAATAGACCTAATTTTATGAAAGACTTCTGACTGAAAAAAAAAAAAAAGTTTGAAAATAAAGAAGATGGCAGAATTGCACAGTCGGTTGATTTTTTTTTACCCCGCAGTGCTTTCTAGAATATACTGGGAATAAGGATTATGGCTATGTTGTGCTGTAAATAGCAGGAGATTACAGAACATATCAGTATGCTTGTGTGAAGAGAAACTGATCTGAAGCTGTGTTCAGGAACTGGAGAGCAACACTCTCCTGCGGTTTTCTCTGTAGGTGGTTAGGACCGAAATAGAGCCGCGGTTCCCCCTCTTATCGAAAGCAGAAATGAGAGTATTTCAGCGGATTCTATGCCCAACCTTAATCTCCTGTGGGGAAATGCAACTCTCTTTTTCCCACACACACACTTACCACACAGAGAGATAGTGGCAGACATGCTCACCTCTTCAGACAGACACTTCCCTCTCTCACTCTGTGGGTGTAAAGTTTTCTCCCTACCGACCCTCCTGAGAAATAAACACGCTTGCTTGCACGTATGCACACTTGCTTTGTATCGCGCCTCCCAGATGCTGAAACGCTTCCAGCATGGCAAGCCAGCCAGGTTGGATAAGCCTCTGTGAAAGCTGTGGACAAGAGCAGGAGAATCAACATTGTCCTCAACACATGTCCCCTACCATCCCTCCATCACTGCTCCACAAATACAGCCTTCCAGAGATAGGACTAACTCCCAGTGTAAACAATTATATGTGAGAAGGAGTGGGGGAATTATTGAGCTGCCTTTAGTAAGGACAAAAATGTTAAGCCCAGCACTGGAGTTTCTATTAAGCTGTGTCTGATATGACGGCTGGGAATTCATCAGGATCAATACAAATACTTTCTGCTTCCGGAGTGCTCTTTGTGCTTTACAGATGGGTCTTCCTGAAGCTGCTGTATTAAGGTTCGGTACTTAGCAAACATATTCATTCCTCTTGAAATCTTTCACATTTTGACATTTTAGAAAACAAAGCGAAGGGATTTTATTTCTGGATAAAGGAGCATGGATATAGATAAATATCCATCTATGGGGCTGGTGCTTTTCTCCTGAACAGGTCACCAGTCTGTCATAAGGCAACACAGAGACACTCAGTCATGCACACACAAACTCACACCTGAGATCAATTTAGAGATGCAACTTAACCAAAACTCTGGACTCTGGGAGGAAACCAGAGTACCCAGAGAGAAGTCACACATGCATTAAGAGACCATGCAAACGATTCAAACTCAGGATCTTCTTGCGGCACGGTAACGGCACTACAAATTACGCCACCATGCAGAAAACAAAATAATTTGCCATCCATGTCTAATTTTCTATTGGCTATGCTATTATGGGCCATTTTGGAGTCCATCACATAAAAATACCTCACTATAGGGTGTTAGTAATAGTACATATTGATTTTCATACTGTAACTATGGTGGAGGATAATCATGGCTGCAACCTAAAGTCTTGTGGCATTTGCACATTCACAAACACATGAGAATCTATCTTGTTCCACTCCAGCCTCAGGTGTCCCTGGCCTACCCACAATGAGTTAGCCCGTGACAGTGCAGTATTATAGTTTATATATAGCGATGATAAGCAAGGAGTCGCAACCCCAACAACCAAACCAAAATAAACATGGCAGCACGGAAAGACATAGCTGCTGCTGCTATCACATCTGTTTTCTCGGAATTCATTATTTTCATCTCTAAAGTTGGAACGGCAATACAGTAGCATAATCATGTAATTTTTGTGGTTTTGGCAAAGACCAAGGTAGATGGTTGGGCAGCGGGTGCTGCTTCGTTCATTTAGCTCAGAAGCTTCTGCTGAAAACAGATTCGATCGGAGCAGTGGCGGATTGATCATATCTTGAACTAAACCGGAGTGCTACAATACATAGCCATATGGCTTGCAGGGTTAGTTGATATAGCAAGCCATGATATAATTCTTTTTAAGGAGTAATACTTGCAAAACACAGAGCTTGCAACTATGTTTGCAAGTGAGTCCGCAGTCTCTGATGCAATTTCTTTGAACCATATATCTAACTAGATTAACCTGCACGATTGGATATGCATGTGCTAGAGCAGAGGTCACGGATTAGCGGACCGCAGTCCGGATCCGGACCCACCAGCTCGCTAATCCGGACCCAACCTGATTTCAAACATTTGTAAATTACTGTATGTTGTCTGACGGCAGTGTCTAATTTCACTTGCGGCACTTCTCCTGTTTGTACAGTAAAGCCCTCTGGGACCAGGATGCATGTGATGCCAATTAGCCAATGAGCTGTGTCAGTCAGGGCTGTTGCCGCTAGCTACTTTTAGACACAGCAGGCAAAGAAGAAGGAAAGAAGAAGAAGATGAGAAAAAGTGAAAGAAAGTGTGGACTGCTGGAAGAACTGTGGTCAACTGGTGAAAGAAAAGTGAAATGGCATGCTCAAAGATGACCCTGCACATTCTGAGTATGTTTGGCTCAACCTGCTGCTATGAAGCAGGATTCTCCACCATGAACAGAATCAAAAATACATATCCAGGCTCAAAATGAGCAGCTTGATATAGGCTTCAGAATGGCTTTGTCTCCATTCAAACCCAGGTTTAAATCCTTGCAGGGCAGCCTGAAGCGCACTTCTGTCATTAAGCCATAAAAAGGAAAGAAAGAAAATAAATGGTCAGTTCAGGTGACCAATATGTGAATCTGTAACGTACAGGAAACTGGACCCAGGAAACAACTCAGACAGGTCAGTGGAATGCAACGGATTTTATTTATCACTGTGTGGCACAGGGAGCGTGCAGGCGGCTCTTAGTCAGGAAATCCCGTGCTACTGGGTCTTAGAGTGGGCGGTTGGCTCCATGTTGGGTCCCGGGCAGGAGTCCATAAGAGGAAGGGGCTTGTGGAAGCAGTGGCCGTTGAGTGGTGGATGGTTTGCTTAGGACTGAGGCCAATGAGCTCCAGAGAAAGTCCGTTTACTGATTCCAGTGATCGGGTCCGAGCAAAGGTACAGAGGGGCAATCCAGAAGATAGGTCCAGGTCCGATCCAGGATCCGTTAACTGGCAGTTTCAGAGAAGCAGAAGGGTTAGGCAGACTCGGTTACTCACTGACTGAGTGGGGTTCTGGCTCACAGGCAGGCAATCCAAGGCAGAACTGATGCAGGGGTCCAGAGGCAGATCTGGTTTGGATTCAGGGCAGGCAGACAGGATCAGATAAGGGATCAGGCAGGCTCGGTGAAAAAAGGCAGAAAACAGGTCAGGCAACAGGTAGGCAGGCAAAAGATTGAAATGCTGGAAGGTACTCAACGGTTGGTTTGAGACGATCTGGCACTGGGAACAGATCCAAAAGAGGTATATATGGAGGTGTAACCAATTAGTGATAACAGCAGGCAGGGTGGAGTGAGCAGGTGTTAAAATGTATTTTTATTTAAAAAGTCAGTGTATAACATGGATGCATAAAAACCTAATTTTATTTGAGTGTTAAATTCTGTTTGAAGTAACAGATTATAATTAAAAATGTCTCCAGACCTTTACTGGTTGTTGATTTTCTTTATTCTTAATTGGTGACCCCTGTCCTAGAGTACACCTGGAATCCCGAGATCACGCAATAACAGAAAACTTTATAAACAAAGTCAGTCTGTGATGAAACAAAAATGCACTTGCTGTTTAATTACGCTCAGGTAAGATCAATATTTCAAGTTCCTGACCAGAAATGGCATAATGTTTCCATAATGATTTGATCATTTTGGTTCGTATTTACCCCAAATACAGATGGGTTCTATTTTGAACACAAATGGTTGAACTCTTGGGTAGAGAACTTGTCCAAGTAGTTCTTGGATTAAAGTGTTTTGTTGTGCTGATTTATGACATCCATTTTAAAATGCTGCATAAGTCCAAACAAAGAAGATCTACAGTATAATCAACCTTTGTCGGACCATCAGAGTTGCAGTCATGAGTGGTCTGCATAGCACCATTTACTACAATGTGTTCCAATTGCTACGGATCATATGTCCAGATTTCTTTTACCAGACTATACTGAAACAAATCATGTGTTTTGGGAGTTTAATTAG